TATGTAGTTCCCGACGTTTATTAGCTATTTGTGTTATTAACTTGTGATTCGATATATTGTGACGCCCCACGATATTATTGCGAGACTTTTGACGATACGATATCACGACATTTCGGTTATTGTTACATCCCCAATGAAACGTAAAAATACTACCCGAATGAAATGAGCCAAAATTACTCAAAACAAGATTAAAAACGCCAAATTTAAGAAGATTTTCCTTTTTCGCAGGTTATAAAATGTATACTGATTTTATTATTGCAAATGTGTTTTCATAATACTGATTGATGGTTTCAAATGAGGATTTACGTTGTGCAAAAAAGAGAAAAGGATTTGAGCTTTTAAGAAGTCTATGTAGCTTTGAGAACTGTTTTGTGGAAATGGAAAGAAACCGCTGTCCACACTGCAAAAAAACTGATCTGGTTTAAGAGTTACAACAATTCAAATGTACAGAGTTAAAATGACTTGAAATCACAGAGAGAAGTGATTTAGACTGTAACTCCGGCTAAAAAACTTCTAAAACAAAACTCAGATTACGTCACAGAAGTCAAAATTACGGAAGCGGAGAGGGGTCACGACAAACGCAAACGCCGCAACAAATACAAACGCCACAACACAAACGCAAACGCCGCAACAAATACAAACGCCACAACACAAACGCAAACGCCGCAACAAATACAAACGCCACAACACGACGAAAAGCCACAACAAACCAAAAAAAGCCACAACGGAAATGACCGCATTAAAATAGAGTCCCGCGAACACCGCAACAAAAACAAACGCCACAACACAAACGCAAATGCAGTAACACGTTAAAAAGCCACAACACATTAAAAAGCCACAACACACAGAAGAACTACAAAAGAAAAGTAAAGGAACGGAGAAGTTGGAAACGTAAGTAAAAATAATTTATTGTTTTATCATTATTCGTTTCACGTTGTAGTTCTTCTTCTTCACTTGCCGCTCGGTCGGTCCGTCAGAAAATAGAGTCCCGCGGTGACTTCCGTTGTGGCTTTTTAATGTGTTGCGGCTTTTTAATGTGTTGTGGCTTTTTAATGTGTTGTGGCATTTGCATTTGTGTTGTGGCTTTTGCATTAAAATAGAGTCCCGCGGTCATTTCCGTTGTGGCTTTTTTTGGTGTGTTGTGGCTTTTTGGTGTGTTGCGGCTTTTTAATGTGTTGTGGCTTTTTAATGTGTTGCGGCATTTGCATTTGTGTTGTGGCGTTTGCATTAAAATAGGTCACTTCCGTTGTGGCTTTTTAATGTGTTGTGGCTTTTTAAGTGTTGTTTTTAATGTGTTGTGGCTTTTTAATGTGTTGTGGCTTTTTAATGTGTTGTGGCATTTGCATTTGTGTTGTGGCTTTTGCATGAAAATAGAGTCCCGCGGTCATTTCCGTTGTGGCTTTTTTTGGTGTGTTGTGGCTTTTTGGTGTGTTGCGGCTTTTTAATGTGTTGTGGCTTTTTAATGTGTTGTGGCATTTGCATTTGTCTTGTGGCTTTTGCATTAAAATAGAGTCCCGCGGTCATTTCCGTTGTGGCTTTTTAATGTGTTGCGGCTTTTTAATGTGTTGTGGAATTTGCGTTTGTGTTGTGGCGTTTGCATTTGTTGCGGCGTTTGCATTAAAATAGAATCCCGCGGTCACTTCCGTTGCGGCTTTTTAATGTGTTGTGGCATTTGCATTTGTGTTGTGGCGTTTGCATTAAAATAGAATCCCGCGGTCATTTCCGTTGTGGCTTTTTTTGGTGTGTTGTGGCTTTTCGTTGCGTCGTCGCATTTGTATTTGTTGCAGCGTTTGCGTTTGCCGTGACCCCTCTCGGCTTCCGTACAAAATTTATCCAAATCCAGTTTAAATTCTGAATTCGAGTCATTCTAAAACAAGTCCAGATCCATTTTTGCGGCGCGGATTCGCAGTTCGCCGCGACGGTTCGGTAACATAACCCGGGCAATTTCCACAACCCTGCGACGGTGAGCTTTGAGAACCAACTGGATGCTTCTAGAATGTGCACCTCGCATACGAGCGACGTCAAGTTTAAAACAATAAATTACAATTCAACATATCACCAAAGTCCCAAAGCACAGCAGCAGTTACAGGAAAACAGAAGAAATGGCACAAAAATGGCTAAAATCTATACAGAATCTTAATGAATATCTTTTTTTTTTTTTTTTTTTTTTTGTACAAAGAAACAAAACTCATGGTTCAAGTTTGTAATCAAGATGTTGGCGATTCCAGTTAGACCAGATATTGTGCTAAAAAAAAAAAAAAAAAAAAAAAAAAAAACGAATAAAAGAAATTAAAAACAGCAATTTGGGGCTAAAGAATGAGGAGTTAAAAATAAAATAACTGTGGTTTAGTTTGAAACAGTACAACGGCCGGAGTGTAAACGATTAAAATCAAAAACAAAGTCCAACCACGTTATGTGACGATAACGCACGGAGACGAGTGAAAAGTTACGTAATGCGGCTTTAAAGACTCTGTACCCGATTTTCTTTAGAATCTAAACAAACTTGTCTCGCTCCAGTACAGATATATTGTATAAACAGCTCCTGAGCTCAAAATAAAACCTCCGTTTACTCTAATTATTAAGTGTCCGATAATCAGGAAGTGTGTGGTTAACATGCCAGTTGGATACCTTCGAATCACTGCAAAAAAAATTGCGTAAAAATCAGGTACAGAGCTTTTAAAGTACGACTCTAGACCTAATAAGAAGAGGATCCAAACAAGAAACTAAAATCTCTTCTCGAATCAAAATGACTCAAAAGTTCTGTCGTTTTGCCAATTCTTTATACAGGGAACACGAAGAGTTAACGTAAAAATGATGTTGTGAATCATACGTAAGGCAATGACTATATTTTCAACTATATTTTCAATTACACTGCCAGAATTCACATCGTTTTTAACTACTTTACGAATTTCAAGGGCCCGTGTGACGCCGTTTTCGGATCTACTCTACGTTAAAATGTCGTTTCCTCGTCACAAACAGACCTGGAGTTGTTGTGTTTTGTTTCATTCACACATGTTTAACAAAACGTTGTATATGTAGGCTGTTTTTTTTCTCTCAGAATGAAAACACTGTTCCACCTCGTGATGTCATGTGGTGATACAGGAAGAGCTCCACTGTAATTTCAGTTCTGGAATTGCCAACCTCTCCTGAACTCAAGGTAAAAGACGACTGTTCACTTGAAAACTACTGCTTCATGGCCAAGGCTGAGTGCAGTGTAGTTGGGAGTAACAGATTACAAGTACCGGAGTTACGTAATCAGAGTACAAATGATGAGTAACTGTATTCAGTTACAGTTACTGGTAATTGGATTACAGTTACTTTGTTCAAATAAATGGATTACACGGCGGTATTTTTCTGTTTTCACATTTTGGGCTAAATCCCTCTTTTTTTTTTTTTTTTCCCCCAGTAATGCCACTCATTCCTGGAAACTAAACCAGGTCTAAACTAGATGTCAACCAGGTCTAAAACCAGGACTAAAACAGACTAAAACAGACTAAAAGCAGTTCTAAACTAGATTTAAATCAGCTCTAAACCAGGTCTAAAACCACGACTAAACCAGGACTATACCAGGACTAAAACAGGATTAAAAGCAGGTCTAAACTAGATCTAAACTAGATCTAAACCAGGTCTAAAACCAGGACTAAAACAGGATTAAAAGCAGGTCTAAACTAGATCTAAACTAGATCTAAACCAGGTCTAAACCAGGCCTAAACCAGGTCTAAAACCAGGACTAAAACAGACTAAAAGCAGGTCTAAACTAGATCTAAACTAGATCTAAACCAGGTCTAAAACCACGACTAAACCAGGAGTATACCAGGACTAAAACAGGATTAAAAGCAGGTCTAAACTAGATCTAAACTAGATCTAAACCAGGTCTAAACCAGGTCTAAACCAGGTCTAAACCAGGTCTAAAACCAGGACTAAAACCAGGACTAAAACAGACTAAAAGCAGGTCTAAACTAGATCTAAACTAGATCTAAACCAGGTCTAAATCAGGTCTAAATCCAGGACTAAAACAGGACTAAAACAGGATTTAACAGGACTAAACCATGCTGGGCGGACGTGTCTCCTCTTCTTCTATCAATAATATTTTTAATACGGTTAAGGAAAGTCTGCGCTTTCTATTCATTTTTTTATCAGACAAAACATCTTATGTTACGATTTTCTCGTCTTTTCTTCTCTACAGCAAATCAAGTAATCCAAAGTATTCAGATTACATTACTCACTTTAAGTTATTTAATGGATTACGTTACAAACTACATTTTGGGGTCTGTAATCTGTAATCTGTAGGGGATTACATTTTAAAAGTCACCTTCCCAACACTGGCTGGGCGTCATGAAAAAGTTGTTGACACGACACATATCTCGATACACACACTGCAAAAACTCAAATCTAGCCAAGTTAAGATGACTTGAAAGTTTGATCATGATTTGAGTAAATTTCACTTGAAAAGTAAAACGATCTACCAGTGGAACAAGACTTTTTGTACTTAAAATATTTTGAATTGTATTGTGTTGACTTATTCCACTGGTAGATCATTTTACTTCTCAAATCAAGAAAAATTTAAGTCATTTTAATTTAGCTAGATATTTTTTTTCCAGTGTAGACTACGATACGATACATATTTCAATAAAGTGCACTAGGGGCAGTGTTGGGAAGGTGACTTTTAAAATGTAATCCCCTACAGATTACAGATTACATACACCAAAATGTAGTTTGTAACGTAATCCATTAAATTACTTGAAAGTGAGTAATGTAATCTGAATACTTTGGATTATTTGATTTGCTGTAGAGAAACAAAGACGAGGAAATCGTCATATAAGACGTTTTGTTTGCTAAAAGAAAATAAAAAGCCCAGACTTTACTGAACCAAATTAAAAATATTGTTGATAGAAGAAGAGGAGACACGTCCACGCGGCAGGATTTAGTCCTGTTAAATCCTGTTTTAGTCTTGGTTTAGACCTGGTTTAGACCTGTTTTAGACCTGTTTTAGACCTGGTTTAGACCTGTTTTAGTCCTGTTTTAGTCCTGTTTTAGACCTGGTTTAGACCTGGTTTAGACCTGGTTTAGACCTGTTTTAGACCTGTTTTAGATCCTGTTTTAGTCCTGTTTTAGACCTGGTTTAGACCTGGTTTAGACCTGGTTTAGACCTGTTTTAGTCCTGTTTTAGTCCTGTTTTAGATCTGTTTTAGTCCTGGTTTTAAACCTGGTTTAGACCTGGTTTAGACCTGGTTTAGACCTGTTTTAGACCTGTTTTAGACCTCTTTTATTCCTGTTTTAGATCTGGTTTAGACCTGGTTTAGACCTGGTTTAGACCTGGTTTAGACCTGGTTTAGACCTGTTTTAGTCCTGTTTTAGACCTGGTTTAGTCCTGGTTTAGTCCTGGTTTAGTCCTGTTTTAGACATGTTTTAGTCCTGGTTTAGTCCTGGTTTAGACCTGGTTTAGACCTGGTTTAGTCCTGGTTTAGTCCTGGTTTTAGTCCTGGTTTAGCCCAAAATGTGAAAACAGAAAAATACCGCCGTGTAATCCATTTATTTCAACAAAGTAACTGTAATCCAATTACAGTTACTCATAATTTGTAACTCCAGTACATGTAATCTGTTACTCCCCAACACTGACTAGGGGTGTGCGAAAATATTGAAATATTGATAGGATATATCGTTTAATGTTAATATCATGGGCTGCTGTTTCGATATATCGCCAAGAGTATTTGTTGGTTTATATTTTACTAAATTATTTTGTTACAGCTACAGTTTTGTTGTTTGTTCAGAGGAAGGAAACTTGTTTATGCGACACATTTGACATTTTCACTGTTTTGAGGATTAAAAAATAGGAGTGTTTCTTTAACTTTGCACAAGAAGTGGCTTAACAAAAACTTTTAGTATCACAGACATGATTTAGCCTTTATTTTTTTATTGAACCTTATCAAATCGATTTGAAATATATCGTATCAAACCAAAAGTGCACTGTATCAAGATGTGTTGTATCATGGCCTGTGTATCAAGGTGTGTATTGTATTGGCAACATCTTAATGATAAGTGTAAAGCAGCTGCACTCCTCCTCATTATACGCGTTAAAGAAGACCTATTGTGCTTTTATCTTTTATGAACTTATAATCCATGACACCCCTGGAGCATCATGTTATCATTTGGACATTTTAAATCGCAGTATTCATCGAAATGGACTTAATAAAAGAAAGGATTGTGCTGACTTCTGTGTTAGAAAACTGTGGTGCCTAATGGGAGCTGACGTCATCATAAACGTCATCACAAAGAGATGATATGTTGTTGGCGCATCCTAGAAAGCAGCACTGCCAAATAGTACGTGGACAGGGGCGGACTGGCAACATGTGCACTCTGGAAAAGTCCATAACGACTGTCCGACTGTGGGGCTGAATTGAGCGCCGCACTCTCCTCAGTTTCAACCGTGGGCCAATTTGTGTGGGAAAAGTCTAGGGTTTTTTGGTTAGGGTTAGGGTTATTAAAAAAAATACAACTTTAGAATTAGAATGAAGAAATGCAGAGCAGTAGGAGTGTACCAGTGGTGTTGAAAACGAACAAAATAGCAATACATGCATCCTGAATTTCGGACTTCCGGTCATTGCGCAATGCACACTGGGAAGGATTTTCTGAAAAAGTGAGCATCAAACCTCCATGTTTGATTTCCCAGTGGGATGCATCTATTGACAAAGCCAGTCTATTCAAGTCTTTTGAATCATATCACTTTTGTTTCTGGTTCTGATATTGTCATATTTTAGTTTTGGGATTCGGACATCGTAATTGTGTGGTTGTTGAATGTCCTGACAGCAAAAAACGAGAAATTTGTTTGCAAACTCCATAGCTGCAAAAGTGAATCAGATGTGTGTGACTGCATGATGTGGTTCAATAAAAATAAAGACTAAATCATGGCTGTGATACTTTGTCTTTGTTAAACCACTATGTTTGTGCAAAATTAAGATGAAAACACGTGCATTTTAATCCTCAAAACAGTGAAAATGTCAAATGTGCTGCATAAACAAGTTTCCTTCCACTAAACAAGCAACAAAACTGTAGAAACAAAATAATTTAGTACAGCAGCCCACGATATCAATACTGTATCATCACATTCAATTCAACAATCCGATATTTCAATATTTTGATATTTTCGCACAACCCTATTCATGACTAGCCTGATTCATCAGCCAGTTTCACTTTGTGGAAACCGTCTGACCTCGCAGCATTAGGATCCGTTCGCTCGACAGTAGGCGAGTACTTTTTTTCATTTAACCAATCGCTGCTGTTTGGTCGTGACGTATGTAATGCGCCGCTAACGGGGGTAACTGGTATATTAAGCTTTTCAAATCCAAATCCCGTAGGAAGAAGAACAATAACGTCTTTCCCCTTGATAAAATTCAACAAACATTCACTTTGTTTCAGCTTTAAATCCTCGACCTCGGGAATCGTTGACAACACTGAATATACTCACTTCGCTGATTGGCTGATGCCCGAACTTGCACTTCTGGGATTTTTGCAAACCATCTAGAGCACAGGTGGCAAACATGCGGCCCCGGGGCCAGATCCGGCCCTCCAAGACCTTTAATCTGGCCCTCGGCGGATTTTCTACTAAAATATTTTAATTATATTTTCTATTAAAATCTTGTTAATTTTCTGTGGTGTTTATCACAGCAGCGTCTCCAGCGTCTCTGTACGTGGCCCCTCCCACAAACGCTCTTAAAGGACGATCGTTTTGACTGTTGACCGTGACACCCTCATCAGAAAAATGTCCAACATGAGAAAAGTGGAGCCGAGTGCAGGATTTTACAACAAAAATGACTTATTCTTATTTGTAAACAAGTTCATGTTAAAATGTTGAAACTGCATTTTTCTTAAAGTTTCAGGTTTGTTCATAATATTATAATATTTAGTAAAAGAAAGAGTTCATCAATTTAAAAAAGATTTCTGTAATAGATTTGCGTTTCTCTGCACCAATATTTGAACTTATTGTTATTTTTGGGGTTTATATGATCAAAGTCGGTTGGATACGACCCCCGGACCAAAATGAGTTTGACGCCCCTGATCTAGCGTGTTCCAATTCCTGACCTAATCTCTGGAGAGAAATGAATTTGAGCAGAGGCACTAGGCGGCATCGGCCTGACTAATCCCTGACATCACAAAGTTGAACAGAGCATTTTAAGTTTTGGAGATGTAGACAGACTAATAATAAAGGATTGCTCAAAAACGTGTGAATGAAACAAAACACAACTCCAGGTTTGTTTTTGAGGACGCCTCAACATTCTAACAAGCCTTCGAGCTCATCAAAATTCTGTGCAGCATAGAACCTTTCAGTGGGATGTGTGTAAGAGGCTTTGACGCGCGGTGGCCGGACAACAAAACAAACTTAGAAGGTCAAACGAGCCTTTTCGTTTCGCTCGTAATCCCAATGTCGCTAATAAAAAAGAATAAAATTTCATACGCGTGCTTGTAAACACAGTTATTACAGCGAGTGGAGTGGCATTATTTACTTTGTTATTGCTAAAACCATAAAAACAATATTAGATTTTCTTCAATGGGACGTCGTTTGTTTGTGCGCTCGTAAAAACAGCTTTAATACAAAGTTAATGGGGCAGCGTGGAGAGAGGGATTGGACTGAAACCGAAACACTGCAAAAGTAGGTGCGATGAAATCACCCAAATTAAGTGTAAATTATCTAGATTGGGCGTTGTTAAAGGGACATTATGTAACTTTTCTGATTAAGGATCTGTCTCCTGCGTGTTTCCATGGAGATGTTAGTGCCTCGCCCAGAATGCACCGCAGTATTTGGCATCGTCGTAGACTGTGTAAAGAAGCGGACTGAGAGGGCGTGACGTCAACCGCAGCGTTCAGCTCCAGTCAAATGAAGCTCACTGAGGCCTGCGGTTATAGGTGGTTTGTTTTTTCACTTTTTAGAGACAAAAAAGTGAAGTAAAAACTCCAGGATGATGTAGAGCGGGTTAATATTGAAGTGAATTGGAGCTGGAGTCGATAGAAATGTCGGTTTATATGTACAGGCCACGTCTCGTTTGTCTTTCCTCGCTTCCTTCTTGATTTCTTTCCTCGATTCTGCAGGAAATGGGTGAGGAAGTCCCGCCCACAGAGGAGACACAGCGAGGAGAGAGGATCTAAACTCCTCACCGAGACCTATAGGCTGTATAGGCGAGTTTCATTGTTGACAAAAGCGCGCGTTGCATGCTGGGAATTATTTTGGTCGACGGCAAGAAACACTAATTCAACATGACGGACGGAGCGAGAAAGCACGTAAAGGGTATTGATCCCGGTTATTTATCCACTCTAACGGCAGAGGACCCAAGACCATTTGACCAGAAATTGGTCATAAGCATCGACGGACGACAAATCACCCTTTTCAACCCCGACAAAAGGTGGACCAAACCAAATTTCTGGTCAGAATCGCCAACTACCTGGACAAATATTCACTTGGGCGATATCCACAATGACTTGGTGGAAACTCCTGGGCCATTCACAGCAGAAAAGATGAAAACCTCCAAGAGTCTCGATGTGTTGTTGAACTTGTTGGAGTCCACGGTTTGTTAGGATCTTCTACGTTTGCTCTGCGGATGTTTGAAAGTCGTTTAATTCACCGTTAGTGGTTCTTTTCACTCGGAATACGAAAAAGACATTTTCCTTCTTCCGTGCTTCTATTTGTGCATCTGATAATGCAGCAGGAATTTACCATTATCGGGGATAAATACGCGAGGTTACGCACTGTGTTTGACGCTACCGTGTTTCTTGCCTCCGACCAAAATATTTCCCAGCAGCAACGCGGGCTTTTAATAACAATGACGTCAGCTGAAACTCGCCTATTCACGCTTATGTCACAAACCAGGAAGACGTTTGGAAACCTGCGATTAGATCTTCCGGTGTAGTTCCCGACACTGGACTCACCGACCGACTGTGATCAAACCCACTGAAGTAAACGTGATAAAACCGTAAAATGAAGACTGCAGACGTATGTGCTGTTTGGAAATCATCTGGAATTTGGCCCCTCATCTCTTCTAATCGAATTATTGTACTTGTGGATTGGTGGAACATCACGGAACACTACAATGGCTTTAAGGCTACGTTCACACTGCAGCCTGAAGTGACCCAAATCCATTTTTTTTTTCGCCCTTATGCTCCTCTGTCTGATCTTTTAATGACACAGATCAATTTTTTTCAAATGTGACCCAGCCCACTTGGATATGTGCTCCTAAAACCGACACATATCTGATCTTCTTGACATGCGACTTCAGTCTGAACGGTCAGGTCACATTCATCCCACCTACACGTCAGGCTCAGAGTCTCGTCAATGGAGGGAAAGCGAGGTTAGGAGTTCATTAATATTTCGTGGGATCTCTGTATTCAGGCCAAACTGGAGGAGTCTTATCAGAACCGGGCGGTTTTGAAATGACTGCGAAAGAAATGTCCGAGCGCGACCGCAGCCGGTTCTGTCTCCAGTGTCGACGAAAAACAAAGAGCCTGCGAGACAAATACAAGGAGGCTAAAGACTCAAACAAACGAAGCGGCCGCGGACGTGTGACCTGTTCGCTTTACCGAGACCTGGACCGGATTTTGGGAGACAAGCCCAGAGTTTAAGCGACTCCCGTGGTTGTGTCCTCCAGTGCGCATGCGGGACACTTTTGGGGCAATTAAAGTTCACACTGGAGATCACAAACAAGTCGCATTTAATTGGAAACGTGAACAACCTTGCAAATAAAAAATCGTATTTCCAGATTGAGCATTAAGCCTTGCAGTCTGAACGCAAAAAAAGTCGTCATCGCATCTTTCCAAACGTCTTCCTGGTTTGTGACGTTAGCGGGAATAGAGCCTATAAAGTTTGATTCGTTTTTCTTTATTCTCTTTCCTTCTTCCGTGGTTTTCTTCGGGACTCCGCTTAATTCGATACGTTTGATTGACACCTGAAGAACGGAGGATGGAGAAGAGGAATCAAGGAGAAGGAAGCGAGGAAGGAGAAATGAGGCCTATGTCTGCCTACGGTTGACGCCACTAGGCCAAAATGCGTTTTTAATAATATAAATTTGTCGTAATTGGACATATCTAAGTGTAATGTCATAACAACTCTATGGAAACAAGCAGGTGACATGAAAAACACCAGAGAAGTTACACGGCGAGGCTTTAACGTGCCAGGCCCTGGACGTGAGAGAATGGCAAAGGGAAGGGGGGGGGGTTTAAAGCTCGATAAAAAGTACAATTAAAAGTACAACAAGTGCTAAAACACAAATAACACGACTCTACGGTAGATCTCAGGCGGTGAAGCTGGCAGAGATCATGACAACTGGAGTTTCAACGTTCAAGATTGGTGATGTTAGAAAGAAGGACTGAAAATATCCAATTGTGATTTGGAGAAACAGTGCGATTAGATTTGCCATTTGAAAAAGTTCATGTTTTAAACGCGTCCAGAAGAACTGACAAAAAGCTTAGCAGTTTTTCACGCGGAATAAGATTTTACGTGGAGGAAATTATAGTACTTCCAAAACCGCAGCCTTTGTCATTTGCAAAGTGCGCCCGTTTAAATTTTAAAAACGATGAAATTAATTGAACCAAAATAGTCACTTTTTCACTCAAATCTTTTATTTTTAAATGAGGTTTTGTACTGGCTCTTCGTGGGTTTCAGAATGACGATATCGGCCACGTTTACATGAGGTTTTTTTTAAAATTCCGAATTCTGAAATAAAACATTCTCCTTCGAGTTTAAATGGAAATAATAATTCCGAATTGAGGTTTGCATGGGAAACACGTTGAAGATGGAGCGGGGAAGCGTTCTGATTGGACGGAGACACCAACGGATTTACGTCGACCGGAAGAAAACGCACACTTCAGCTGCTGCCGGCTTTTCTGTCACCTCGGTTTGTCGTTTCGCCACGGACGCAAACACGATCCAAACTTTTCCCGCAGTGTTTCCGAAGATAATTGCGCAGCAGCTGGAGAATTCTCTCATCACGCTTTACGAGGAGAAGGGAAGAGTGTCGGCGAAGGGAGGAAGAAGACAAACTGAGTCAACGGCCGCTCTACCTCAGCCCACTCCCGCATCCTGCTCGCAAATCCAAAGAGACGTGGATGAAAGTCCGAAGCCGGGACTGGTGGAGCCGGATCGTACGGGTCGCGTCAGACGGACGACCCAACGAGCACGCGCAGAACCGCCGACGATATTTTTAAGAAGAATCGACGTTTACATGATGCAGGAATAAATGAACTTGGCTTTAAAATCAGAATAAACCACCCAGTTACTTCGAAATTAAGTTTAATTCCGATTAATCGTGCTCATGTTCAAGTGTTTACATGGTCTTTTTAAAGCGGAATTAAATTTTTATTCAGAATTACATGCTTTTTATTCGAAATTAAAGCCCTCATGTAAACGTGCCAACTTTTGCATTGTTGTCATAGCAATTAGGAATTTGGGAGTCCTTAAAATTTCCCCTAAGTCTAAGGCGTTATTATTATTATTATTATTGCGTCGAGTCCTTAGTCCATAGTCCTAAATATGTATCCTCCAGTTGTCATAATTGTGCTTTTTAGGCCTGAAATTTGTGAGCCACATTTGTGCATGGATTTTTAAGTCGGATGCCCTTCCATCCCAACCGTAAAACCCTTTAAAATCTCACATTATTTACATTCAACTTGTTTTGGAATCGACTGCAAAAAACAGAACAGATCTCATTGTCATAATACTTTTTTTTTTTTTTTAAACTAGCTCTAGCTTCGTGTCCCTTTTGCTGCTCGGTAATCTCACTTTGCAAAAAAACACTGTACAAAACGCAAAGCTGTACACGTGAAACCGATCCAGAATGGCCGCCCGTGGAGGTCTGCGGAGCTTCTCAAAAAGTCCAAACCGCATCCTTCGTTTCTTTGTTCATGTTTCTCAGCTCGATTCGAAGAGTTTTTAAAATAGTTTTTCTCTTTCGTCGATTAAAGAGATGATATTTGTCTCCGCGGGGGGGGGGAGGGGTCAGGATGCTGCGACGTGACTGGACGATGGGCTCCGGGTCAGTCTGGGGTCATCGTCGTGAGTCCGTCTCTAGACCGCAGACACCTGTTCATCTGGAGGAGGAAACACACAGCACTTCAGACACAAATCTTTATTCATACTGTTGATTCCTATAATCAGATTCTTATTTTGTGAGCTGTACCAGGCAGCTCCAAATTACAGCCCTCAGACCCGTTTTTATTTTTTATTTTTTTTTTATTCTAAGACATGAACCATACATTTTATTTGAGTCAATTTAATAATAAAACTTTATGAAAAAAGCTACGACATGACCACGTCTTTTTACACCGCAAAAAAAAACCCCCAAAAAAACATCTGCACCAACAGGAGTTAAAGACTGAACGAAGAAGAATAAACATGAACTAAGAAGAATAAACATGAACTAAGAAGAATAAACATGAACTAAGAAGAATAAACATGAACTAAGAATAATAAACATGAAGATCTGAGGAATCTTCAGTTCACGACTCGTTTCATGGTTTTGGTTTTACACAAGTGTCGTCACCAAAGTAAAATCTCAAACTCTATTTCAGTATCAAGGAACAAACTCGATACTGGTTTGGATCCAGTTTAGTCACAGTTTAAATTTAGACCTGGTTTAGATCTGGTTTAGACCTGGTTCAGTCCTGTTTTAGACCTGTTTACTCATGGTTTAAATTTAGTTTAGACCTGGTTTAGACCTGGCCCAGACCTGGTCTAGACCTGGTTTAGACCTAGTCTAGGCCTAGTTTAGACCTAGTTTAGACCTGGCTTAGTCCTGGGTTTAGTCCTGGTTTAGTCCTGGGTTTAGTCCTGGTTTAGTCCTGGTTTAGTCCTGGGTTTAGCCCTGGTTTAGACCTGGTTTAGTCCTGGTTTAGTCCTGGTTTAGTCCTGGTTTAGTCCTGGTTTTAGGCCTGGTTTAGGCCTGGTTTAGTCCTGGTTTTAGTCCTGGTTTAGCCCTGGTTTAGTCCTGGTTTTAGTCCTGGTTTTAGTCCTGGTTTAGTCCTGGTTTAGACCTAGTTTAGTCCTGGTTTAGTCCTGGTTTAGACCTAGTTTAGTCCTGGTTTAGCCCTGGTTTAGTCCTGGTTTAGTCCTGGTTTAGTCCTGGTTTTAGTCCTGGTTTAGCCCTGGTTTAGTCCTGGTTTAGTCCTGGTTTAGCCCTGGTTTAGTCCTGGTTTTAGTCCTGGTTTAGTCCTGGTTTAGTCCTGGTTTAGTCCTGGTTTAGACCTGGGTTTAGTCCTGGTTTAGACCTGGGTTTAGCCCTGGTTTAGACCTGGTTTAGTCCTGGGTTTAGTCCTGGGTTTAGACCTGGTTTTAGTCCTGGTTTAGCCCTGGTTTAGCCCTGGTTTAGTCCTGGTTTAGTCCTGGTTTTAGTCCTGGTTTAGTCCTGGTTTAGTCCTGGTTTAGTCCTGGTTTAGTTGGTTTAAGTCCTGGTTTAGTCCTGGTTTAGCCCTGGTTTAGTCCTGGTTTAGTCCTGGTTTAGCCTGGTTTAGTCCTGGTTTAGACCTGGTTTTAGTCCTGGTTTAGTCCTGGTTTAGCCCTGGTTTTAGTCCTGGTTTTAGACCTGGTTTAGTCCTGGTTTAGTCCTGGTTTTAGTCCTGGTTTAGTCCTGGTTTAGCCCTGGTTTAGTCCTTAACAAAGTCCATTTAAGAGGCAGAAGGTCACGTACCGTCCTCACTGTCCAGTCCGTGCGGGGGGACGCAGATGGAGGCCGGCCTGCTGCTCCCGGGTCCGGCCAGGAGGGGGCGCTGCAGCAGTTTGCTCCTCTGCAGGGCCACCGTGTACTCGGGCGGCTTGAGGAGGGGGTTCCGGGGCAAAGCCGCCGCCACGGCCCCGTCGGACAGAGCCAGGTCCCCCAGAGCCAGGCCCTGGTATCCTGGAGGGGTGGGAGGGGCAGCCCTGAATCTCTCGTCTCTGGACGGAGACGTGATACAGTACACTGGATGGAGTGAAGAACGAAGGAGAACGAGATGGAGGAGGGCGGGAGTGGAGGAGTGGAGGAGAAGAGGAGAAGTGGAGGAGAAGAGGAGAGAAGAGGGGAGGGGGAGAGAGGAGGAGAGAGGAAAGGAGGAGGAGGAGGAGGAAGGGGAGAAGGGAGGAGAGGAGGAGAGAGAAGAGGGAAAGGAAGTGAGAGAGTGGGGAGAGAAAGAGAAGAGGATAGGAGGGAGAGAATGAGAGATGGAGGAGTGGAGGAGTGGGTGAAAGAGGAGGAGTGGAGGAGAAGAGAGAGAGAGGAGGGGGAGAGAGGAGGTGAGAGGAAAGGAGGAGGAGGAGGAAGGGGAGAAGGAAAGAGAGGAGAAGGGAGGAGGGGAGGAGAGAGAAGAGGGAAAGGAAGGGAGGGAGTGGAGAGAGAAAGAGAAGAGGAGAGGAGGGGAGAAAGATGAGAAGGAGAAAGGGAGGAGAGGAGGAGAAAGGAGCCGAGGCGAGAGAAGAAGGAAAGGAAGGGAGGGAGAAAGAGAAGAGGAGAGGAGGGAAGAAAGGAGGGAAGGGAAAGAGAGAGGGAGGAGAGGAGGAGGACGAGCGAAAGGAAGTGAGAGAGTGAGAGTGAGGAGAGAAAGAGAAGAGGATAGGAGGGAGAGAATGAGAGATGGAGGAGTGCAGGAGTGGGTGAAAGAGGAGGAGTGGAGGAGAGAAGAGAGGGAAGGGGGAGAGAGGAGGTGAGAGGAAAGGAGGAGGAAGGGGAGAAGGAAAGAGAAGAGAAAGGAGGAGGGGAGGAGAGAGAAGAGGGAAAAGAAGGGAGAGAGTGGAGAGGGAAAGAGAGGAAAAGATGGGGAAGAAAGAAGGGAAGGGAAAGAGAGAGGGAGGAGAGGAGGAGGGAAAAGAGGGAAGGGAAAGAGAGAAGAGAAGAGAACAATAGAGGAGAGGAGGAGAAAAGGAGAGAGGAAGAGTAGGAGAAGAGGTAGAGAAAGAGGAGGAGGAGAGGAGGGAGGGAAGAGGAGAGGAGGGGAGGGAGGGAAACAAATAATGGTAAAATTAAATTAAGATGAAGTTTTACTGACACGAACTAAACAAGCAGTGAAAACACAAAGCAGATAAAACCAATGAGATGAACATTAGTCCTGGTTTAGTCCTGGTTTAGACCTGGTTTAGTCCTGGTTTAGTCCTGGTTTAGTCCTGGTTTAGTCCTGGTTTAGTCCTGGTTTAGTCCTGGTTTAGTCCTGGTTCAGTCCTGGTTTAGTCCTGGTTTAGTCCTGAATTAGTCCTGGTTTAGTCCTGGTTTAGTCCTGGTTTAATTAGTTCCTGGTGTTTAGTCCTGAATTAGTCCTGGTTTAGTCCTGGTTTAGTCCTGGTCCTGGTAGTCCTGAATTAGTCCTGGTTTAGTCCTGAATTAGTCCTGAAATAGTCCTGGTTTAGTCCTGAATTAGTCCTGGTTTAGACCTGGATTAGTCCTGGTTTAGTCCAATTAGACCAAAATAGCACAGGTTAAGTCCAGGTTTAGGCCTGTCGACTGTTGTACAGTCGTAGAATAGTTTTAGTTTAGTTTAGTTCTGGTTTAGTCCAAGTTTAAGTCCAAAATTCACTCTGGTCTAGTCCTGATCAAGTCAAGTTTTAAACCAATTACAACACAGAAGTTTGGTTCACGTTTAGTCCAGGTTCAGTGAAATGTTTTTATTTAATGCACAGATGTGATTTGAGTCCAGTTCTATTCAAATGTTCAAAATCCACGTGTCGTTCGTTCATTTGTTTTTCAACATAAAGAAAAGGAAAAAAAGAACTATTTTCTTCATTGTTTGTCTCCAAAAAAAGATGATTTTGTGTTTAAATGAAAAATGGAAAAAAAACAAATAACGACCGTTTCCTGTTTACATGATTTAAACTGAGATGTTGGACTTTAGTGCCGCATACGGACTAAACCAGGACTAAACCAGGACTAAAGCAGGACTAAAACAGGACTAAAACAGGTCCAGGACTCAGACCGGAACTGAGACCAGGACTGAGACGGAGAACAGGACCAGGACAGAAACTGGGACTAAGACCGGGACTGAGGCCGGGACGGAGACCGGGACCAGTCAGGGACCAGGACCAGGACTGAGACCGGGACTGAGACCAGGACCAGTCAGGGACCAGGACCAGGACTGAGACCGGGACCAGACTGAGATAGAGACCAGCACCAGACCAGGACTGAAAATGGTTTAGTCCTGGTTTAGTCCTGGTTTAACTCCTGGTTTAGTCCTGGTTTAGACCTGGTTTAGTCCTGGTTTAGACTGGTTTAGACCTGGTTTAGTCCTGGTTTAGTCCTGGTTTAGTCCTGGTTTAGTCCTGGTTCAGTCCTGGTTTAGTCCTGGTTCAGTCCTGGTTTAGTCCTGGTTTAGTCCTGGTTTAGTCCTGGTTCAGTCCTGGTTCAGTCCTGGTTCAGTCCTGGTTTAGTCCTGGTTTAGTCCTGGTTTAGACCTGGTTTAGTCCTGGTTTAGTCCTGGTTTAGACCTGGTTAGTCCTGGTTTAGTCCTGGTTTAGTCCTGGTTTAGTCCTGGTTTAGTCCTGGTTTAGTCCTGGTTTAGTCCTGGTTTAGTCCTGGTTCAGTCCTGGTTCAGTCCTGGTTTAGACCTGGTTTAGACCTGGTTTAGTCCTGGTTTAGTCCTGGTTTAGACCTGGTTTAGTCCTGGTTTAGTCCTGGTTTAGACCTGGTTTAGTCCTGGTTTAGTCCTGGTTTAGTCCTGGTTTAGACCTGGTTTAGTCCTGGTTTAGTCCTGGTTTTAGTCCTGGTTTAGACCTGGTTTAGTCCTGGTTTAGTCCTGGTTTAGTCCTGGTTTAGTCCTGGTTTAGTCCTGGTTTAGTCCTGGTTCAGTCCTGGTTCAGTCCTGGTTCAGTCCTGGTTTAGTCCTGGTTTAGTCCTGTTTTAGTCCTGGTTTAGTCCTGGTTTAGTCCTGGTTTAGTCCTGGTTTAGACCTGGTTTAGTCCTGGTTTAGTCCTGGTTTAGTCCTGGTTTAGTCCTGGTTTAGTCCTGGTTTAGTCCTGGTTTAGTCCTGGTTTAGTCCTGGTTCAGTCCTGGTTCAGACCTGGTTTAGTCCTGGTTTAGTCCTGGTTTAGTCCTGGTTTAGTCCTGGTTAGTCCTGGTTCAGTCCTGGTTTAGTCCTGGTTTAGTCCTGGTTTAGTCCTGGTTTAGTCCTGGTTTAGTCCTGGTTTAGTCCTGGTTTAGTCCTGGTTTAGTCCTGGTTCAGTCCTGGTTTAGTCCTGGTTTAGTCCTGGTTTAGTCCTGGTTTAGTCCTGGTTTAGTCCTGGTTTAGTCCTGGTTTAGTCCTGGTTCAGTCCTGGTTTACCTGGTTAAGTCCTGGTTTAGTCCTGGTTTAGTCCTGGTTTAGACCTGGTTTAGTCCTGGTTTAGTCCTGGTTTAGTCCTGGTTTAGTCCTGGTTTAGTCCTGGTTTAGTCCTGGTTTAGTCCTGGTTTAGTCCTGGTTTAGTCCTGGTTCAGTCAGTCCTGGTTTAACCTGGTTTAGTCCTGGTTTAGTCCTGGTTTAGTCCTGGTTTCAGTCCTGGTTTAGTCCTGGTTCAGTCCTGGTTTAGTCCTGGTTTATGGTTAAGTCCTATTTAATCCGGCATCACAGTTTAAGTCACATAAAACAGGAAACAGACGTTATCTGTTTTGGTTTTTTTCCCATTATTCATTTAGACGCAAAATTAAAAACTAAAAAAGCAAATCTGTTTTTTCATTTTGGTTTTAGAGACAAATAATGAAGAAAATAGTTCTTTTTTTTATTTTTTTATTTCTGATTTTATATTGAAAAACAAATGAACCAACGACACACTGATTGTTGTTGGAAATATCTCTGGAAAATGCACAGGACATGGAATAAATGAAGTCTTCAATGCCAAACGTGACAAATGTTTTATGAAATCTGATAAGCAGCAACGTAATCAAAAGCCATGTAAACTGGGCAGTATGAATGTGATGGACATCTTTCGTTCACATTTGTTTTTATTACTGACCAAAAGAAAAACATGACCTCCACTGATACGGCGTCTGTGACCAAACCCATGACTCTGTGGTTTCATGTCAATTTAGTTCATCGTGTAAATTCAAAAAGGTGCCAATGCCGACTGGCTGAATGTGGCGCGTGTAAGTGCAGGCGGCAGCGGTTGGGAGATTTTTGAGAGGTTTCAAAAAGCCCGTAAAGAGCATTTCAAGTGTAAAGTCGTGTTTTTTTGCGATATCAGTGGAGGGCACTTAAACGTGAAGTCGTTTATTTAAGAAAAACATATGTATTTGTAGTAGAGATGCGCGGGTCGGGCGGACGACGTGACGAAAAACAATATTTTAATTAAATTCGGGCGGGTGGCGGTTTAACTAGTCAAATTAAAAAATATATATAAAAAATGTTTCAGAAGAAGCGCTTCCTGGACGTCCAGAGGATAATACACAGTAGATCCAACTCAGTGGTGCTGTTTGGGAAGGGAAGTCAGTAACAAAGATGCAAAAAAAACAAAAAAAAAGTTGTCCATTAAGATATGCTGTAAACTAATAAAGGCATTTTATTTTGAACCAGTGAGTGCCTTGTTTTTTGTTTTTTTTGCATCTTTGTTACTAAAAAATATATATTACAGCCTATATTGTTAAGTGTTATGAGATCTGCGTCTTTGCTCCTATGTGCAATGTTCAGAGCGGCGTGTGGCGTCAGACTGCAGGGCTTAACGCTCAATTCCGATTTTTTTTTGTGAAATCCGAAGTTTTTGCAAGGTCGTTCACATTTCCAATTAAATGTGACTTGTATGTGACTCCAGTGTGAACATTAAACAGCCCGAAAGTGTCCCACATGTGACACTGGAGACACGACGACGTCAACCGCAGCGAGCGTCTCTGTGTTTACAGAAGTTGTCCAAACATGGACGCAGCATCGAGCACCTGGAGATTTTAAAGTTCCGGTTTCCGCCTGCTTCAGTGCAGAATAGTGACGTTTGTGTCTTGTTGATAACGTGTAGGTGGATGAATGCACTTTGGCCGTTCACACTGAAGTCACATGTCAAAAGATCAGATATGTATCAGTTTCAGGAGCACATATCCAAGTGTCCTGGGTCACATTTGAAAAAATCTGACCTGTGTGGTTCAGACTGACATTAAAAGATCAGATACAGGAACATAGGGGCCAAAAAATCGGATTTGGGTCACTTCAGGCTGCAGTCTGAACGCTCCCGAGGCACGCGCTTCTTGAATGGGCCCTCGGAGCGAACGGGCGTCTATGTTTTACTGAAGCGAGTCCAGAAGCAACTGCCCTGTTATTTTAGTGCATCACGGCAAATAAAACCACGATTCATGAGCAACGAACTGGCGCGTTTATGGAGCCCACGCACTCACGGTGAGGCTCCGAACAGGGAGTTAAACCCTGAGCAATGAGCGGCGTTTTGTTACGGACGATTAAGAATGTGAACTAGGGATGGGCATTCGATGAAATTTTCGATTACTCATTAATGTTTTTATATTAAAATGATCATCATTATTATTACTATCTGCACTAATCTGTATAAATCAATTCAACTTTACGACATATAAACATAACGACTCTAGATCCACATCAGCTGTTTGACATTATAATGTGTTTAATTCAGTTTTGTTCAAATCTCACAGAAACAAAACTTAAAACCACATCACTAATTTACATAAACTAAGTGAAGATAAAACTCCAGCTCTTGTGTCGCTGATGTGGTTCAACTTTGTGTTGGATTAAAAAGACATGACTCAGGTGAATACAGGTCAGTGTGACCAGATTTTGTGTTTGTTAAAACCAGGACAGCGTACGGGGGAGGGGGGGCGGGGCCTCGTCATCCACATTGAGCGACTCTCACCTGGAAAAACTTTTTCCCACTGGACACAGAAACATATGTGCTGCTTTATACACTGTGCACATGGACTCACACTTGTCCCAACGCAACGGAAAGTGTGGAATTTCTTGTACAAATCATCGTTAAATCCACATTTGTGCTTCGGTTCGTTACAGACTGACCCACTGTTTGTGTCTCGCTCCTTCTGATGCAGAGACACATGTACACACCTGTTTGGTCACGACACACAGCAACCTACATTCGGTTTGTCGATTAAAATTAACATAATCGATGAAATTCTTAATGATCAATTATCGATTAATCATGCCCATCCCTAATGTGAACATGCACGTTGAGCGAATTTTGGAATGAATGAGCTGTAGAGTTTGCATTTTTATCGAGGCTCTTTAGTTTGTTTACTGTACGATTGTTCTAAAATCTAAAATCAATGGGCGATGGCGGCGAGTGCGGTTTTGAAAATTGGTCAAAACCTCGGGTGCAAATGGACAGCGGGCGGATGATGAGTTTAGTGTCGCGGGTGCGGATGAAAAAATAGCCCATCCGCGCATCTCTAGTTTGTAACTCTTCTAAAGCAATACAGATGAGTGTCGTCCCTCACCGATCAGGCCTTTGTCTGTGCTGGAGGTCACTGTTTTGTAGGCGGGGTCTGTGCTCTGTGCTGCCTCCTCATTGGTCGGCGAGGCGGGGTGTTCTGAAGTGTTCCGTCTTTTCACCGTGCCGTAATTCCCTTCGTAAGTGTCCGATAAGGAGCTGGACGACGCCCAGCTCTGCCGAGACAGGTGCAGGTTCGAGTCCCGCGATTCCTGCTGACTGTTGCCCGTCCAGACGTAGCTGCCGTGCCCGGAGCCGTGCCCGCCGGGGTCGGACTCGGCGATGGGCGCGGGGAGGGGGGTCTGCCTGTACCCGGGGATCTGTGCGTGGGGCAGGGACAGAGTCAGGGGGTGCCCGTGGGTGCCGTGGTCCCAGGGGCGGCAGGAGGAGGCGGGCAGGCTTTGAAAGGAGTCGTGGGAGTTGGAGGAGCAGGAGGTCCAGCTGCCGCGCCCGCTGTCGGCCGCGCAGTCCACCGCCAGCGCCGAGGGGTCAGAGGTCAGGTCCTCCGAGGAGAGAGAGGGCGCCACACGGGAGTGACAGCCGCGAGCCAGAGGAGAGGAGCTGAGGAGGAGGCACAAGGACAATTAAGGTCAGCGATTATTAGAAATGTCTATTTTCTAAAAGTAATACATTTATTTTTTTTTTCCGCTTTCATGAGGTTTTCATAAAATCCTCCAAGGCTCATTTAAGAAGAGGGTAAAACAAGAGGCAAGACAAGTTTATTTGTAGAGCACAATTCATACACAAAGTAATTCAAAGTGCTTTACAGAATAAGAAATACATTAAAATCATAATAAAAACAAATCAAAACATAAAAAACTAGAAAAGCACTCATATTAATTGTGTTTTCCATACATATTTGTCTCGTATCTTTCAATTTGGAATATGAAAGAGGATCCCATTGTCCATCCCTGAGTCAAATTTCATGGGGTTTGGTCAATAATTAACCCAGATATTGAGAAACAAAATTTTTGGCCCCATTTACCACAATGTTAACTAAAATTTCAAAGTGATCCAGAATCCAGGATTTCTTCCGGATCAGCCCCAAAATGAAATCAGTTCTTCCTTTTCACATTTCCAACAAATCCTGAAAATTTCATCCATAACTTTTTGAGTTATGTTGCTAACAGACAAAAAACAAAACAAACAAACAGACAAACAAACAAACAAACAAACAGACAAACAGACAACAAACAGACAAACAGACAAACAAACAAACAAACAAACAAACAAACAAACAGACAAACAAACAGACAAACAGACAAACAAACAAACAAACAAACAGACAAACAAACAGACAAACAAACAACAAAAACAAACAGACAAACAAACAAACAGACAAACGCCGGCAAAAACATAACCTCCTTGGTGGAGGTAATGATGAAGATTAAAATTAACGTTTTTAGTCCTGGTTTAGTCCTGGTTTAGTCTTGGTTTAGTCTTGGTTTAGTCCTGGTTTTAGTCTTGGTTTAGTCCTGGTTTAGTCCTGGTTTAGTCTTAGTTTAGTCCTGGTTTAGACCTGGTTTAGTCCTGGTTTAGTCCTGGTTTAGTCCTGGTTTAGTCCTGGTTTTAGTCCAAAATGTGAAAACAGGAAAACACCGCCATGTAATCCATTTATTTCAACAAAGTAACTGTAATCCAATTACCACTCACTGAAACAGCAACTGTAACCGAACACAGTTACTCATCATTTGTACTCTGATTACATAACTCCGGTACTTGTAATCTGTTACTCCCCAACACTGACCAAGCAAAGAATCATGGGAGATCCAGCACCGTCGTAAAGGTTTATAAACACACATATAAAACGCTGTTGTAATGCCTCCGCTCTGTCACTGCACCTGCTCCAGATTTACGACCAAAAATAACTTTCAAACTTCCTTTATCAACGCCGGCCAGCTGTCTCATTTATGTCCACACTTTTACTGGGCTCTTCTCAATGAAAGCGCGTCCTTTTTTTTTTTTTTACAAAGCAGCCCGTTTTACTACGAGGCGGCGTCCCCTCGGAGGCGCAGAGGAGAGGACCGCTGATGTTTTATAGTCTGTGTTTATGAGGCACAATCGTCCTGATCACCAAGACGCGATAAACAAAGGCAGACAGCGGCGTTTACGGGGGAGGCTAAAGAGGAGCGCGAGAGAGCCGTTAGCAGAGAGAGAGAGAGAGAGAAGGCAGTTAACGTGTCGGACGTTTTAAGACCTCTAAGTTCTTTAACGAGGCGCAGGCATAACCGGGGTCCACCTGCGTGCAGAACGAGCGCAGGTTTGAAGTTAATTACAAGATTCTACATGACGCACAACTGACTCCTGTGAGCTTTAAGACACGTTAGACCAGGGGGTCAAACTCACTTTGGTCCGGGGGTCGTATCCAAACTAATTTGATTCCAAAGGGGCCGGATCAGAAAACTCATGTCATATAAACCCCAAAAATATCAAATCTATTACAGAAATATTTTTTAATTGATGAACTCTTTCTTTGACAAAATATTATAATATTATGAACAACCTAAAACTTTAAGAAAAATGCAATTTTAACATAATGTTTTAACATGAACTTGTATGGAAATAGGAATAAGTCAATTTTTGTTGGAAAATCCTGCACTTGGTTCCACTTTTCTCATGTTGGACATTTTTCTGATGAGGGTTGTCACGGTCAACAGTCAAAACGATCGTCCTTTAAGAGCGTTTGGAAAGAGACAAGTCTTCATTTGTGCTGCTCTGGTGGGAGGGGCCACGTACAGAGACGCTGGAGACGCTGCTGTGATAAACACCACAGAAAATTAACAAGATTTTAATAGAAAATATAATTAAAATATTTTAGTAGAAAATCAGTCGAGGGCCAGATTAAAGGTCTTGGAGGGCCGGATCTGGCCCCCGGGCCTTATGTTTGACACTGTGACCTTACTTGTGCTGTAAGGTCACAAGTCACTCGTTTGTTGCAGTGCTGTGTAATGGACACACACCTCTGTGCTCTACAACTCAAGTCATGTGTGTACCGGTATTAAACGGACTCATTTTTATTTCATGTATGATTCAGACTTAGCGCTGTGGAGACCTGGCGTTGTTTGGTTTCTAAATGGGTAATAAACCAAGTATCAGTGGAAATCAGTAAGTCTCGACTGAAGTCGTGCTGCGACACCCGAGTGGATTCGTGTATAGGGCGCTCTGGATTGTGGGACGCGCAATCGTTTTTTGATGGGGTTAGAGGCTTAAGAACGCGTCCAATAGGCGAGTTTCATTGTTGACAAAAGCGCGCGTTGCATGCTGGGAATTATTTTGGTCGGCGGCAAGAAACACTAATTCAACATGACGGACGGAGCGAGAAAGCACGTAAAGGGTATTGATCCCGGTTATTTATCCACTCTAACGGCAGAGGACCCAAGACCATTTGACCAGAAATTGGTCATAAGCATCGACGGACGACAAATCACCCTTTTCAACCCCGACAAAAGGTGGACCAAACCAAATTTCTGGTCAGAATCGCCAACTACCTGGACAAATATTCACTTGGGCGACATCCACAATGACTTGGTGGAAACTCCTGGGCCATTCACAGCAGAAAAGATGAAAACCTCCAAGAGTCTCGATGTGTTGTTGAACTTGTTTGTTAGGATCTTCTACGTTTGCTCTGCGGATGTTTGAAAGTCGTTTAATTCACCGTTAGCGGTTCTTTTCACTCAGAATACGAAAAAGACATTTTCCTTCTTCCGTGCTTCTATTTGTGCATCCGATAATGCAGCAGGAATTTACCATTATCGGGGATAAATACGCGAGGTTACGCACTGTGTTTGACGCTACCGTGTTTCTTGCCTCCGACCAAAATATTTCCCAGCAGCAACGCGGGCTTTTAATAACAATGACGTCAGCTGAAACTCGCCTATAGCCCAGAAAATACGGTATATGTCAGTGTCTTGTGGGATTTCATCAGATTTCAGACTCTCCCGGGGGCGGGGCTAGGTGTATCGAGTATCAGCTATGAGTGGATGTCCGGCTACTGAAGTTTGAGACATTTCTTGCATTACCTGCATTTTATGGATTTAATGGAACATACGGATCATTAAGACGTATCCCACTCACTAATGTTGGTTCAGCATCATAACTTATTTTATCATACGGTCATAAACTGTTAATCAGATTCTGCAGATTACAAGCTGCGAGTCGTGAAATATGCAGCCGAAAACTGCAACTGAGCAGCAGAAAAAAAGTTTGGAAAGAGCAAGAAACTTGTGAGGGACTGGAGAAAAGTGGAGGATACTGAAAACGCTCAGAAGTGACGCCGAGGATGAAGAATTGAATGGATTTAGTGATTTGGAGTGAGATGGACAGTTTGTTAAACTTGTTCTGTTCTGTTGTTTATGTTATAGTTTATCTGAAGAACTGTTCATATGTGACATTAACTGTCTGTTCTTCTCTCTTCTATTGTTAATACTAGAACTTGACTTTACACAGGAAATGTCGGTTCCTGGTCTCTGATTTTATAAAATAAATTTCCCCCAAAAATGCAACTTATATATGTTTTTTTTTCTTCTTCATTATGCATCTTTGGCTGGTGTGACTTATACTTCGGAGCGACTTATAGTGTGGAAATTACGGTAACCTTTTATTATTAATCTACATCTTTCAAGCTCAAAATCCTTTGTTCCACCTTGTGATGTCATACAGTGGTAGTTTTCAAGTTTACAGCTCATTTTACCTTTAGTTCAGTAGAGATTGGCAATTCCAGGACCGAAATCATCCAAGTGATTCTAGTGACGGTGTGTAGAGTTTAAAAAAACACAGTGAAGCGCTTCCTGTATCGCCACATGATGACATCACAAGGTGCAACAGCACGTTTGAGAAAAGAACACAGCGGTTTTTGTGTGAACGACGCAAAACACAACTCCAGGTCTGTTTTTTTTGATGGCGAAACAACATAATAACAGATCAGAAAACAGCGTTGTTCGAATTTTGCTTCCATTGCATGAGGACAAAGAGAAAAGTTACGTATTGCACCTTTAACTCTTTCCCCCCTGGACGCCGACTAGGAACAACCCATACATATGTTACTAGGGCTACACCCATAGAGCATAACTGCATAAAAGAAAACAGACTTCCACGAGTGATTATAAATGATTTTTACACTCATGAACTTCATTGTAACACAGACATATTTGTATTTCTGGAAACCTTAGACTCTGAACTCTTCATTTATGGATGTTTAAATGTGATTCAACTCATTTACAGGTTTATAACAGCTCACTGAAAATGAGAGTTTACCTGGTCAGGTGCAAACTCAAAAACAAAAAACTACATTCAGCATCTGATATCTGCATGTTCTGAGTAATATATTCATAAAAAAATAAAAAAATAAACTTTGTCAAAGTATTTAAACAGATTTCATATCACCAGATACAGTAGAGCCAAGTGTGCACCTGTTTTTACCTGTTGTTCACCTGTGTGCACCCAATAATTTTTTTTCCATTTAACTTATTCAACTCATTAGTTATTCAACTTATTTTATTTATTCAACTCATTTAGCTTATTCAACTAATTTAACTTATATATATATAATAATATAATAATAAAACTCTTCCCCGTCAGTGTGTGTCCAGTATTTGTCATCTTGGTTATTTTCTCGAGTGCAGAGCTCCACATAAGTGTTTTTTCTGTAGTGATTCTGTTATACATCGCATCTTGGAAAAAAAGACTGAAATATTTTAAAGGACTCGTCTGGGCAACATCCAGATTTCAGGGCAATTTTGGTTCATAATCGAGTATAAAGCTCAGATAGTTTGTTGGATACATCGCAGGACTCCACACAGACGCATCAGCGGCATTCTCACCTTCTCCCCGAAAGTCCGTCGCTGTCGCTGTTTTCCACTTTATAATCAACTTCAACATCATCACTTTGAAATCTATAAAAGTCACTTTCTCTAAACTTATCCATAAAATACGTCCGCTCCTCATTATTTCTAAAACTGTGCGCCGCAGCGCCGCGATCTTTCCATTGCACGTGTTTCGTGTTGTGTTTTTTCCGGAAGCTACCATCGTCACTATTTCGATTAACTTCGGAAAAAATCGGCGAAAACATATCCTTGAATCCTATTGGTCAGTCTAGTGTGGGTTGTAGTGGCCCCGACCGATCACAGTCTCTGTTTAAATGTGAAAAACCGAGCCGTTTCTAAAGGTCGTCAAATCTCGTCTTTAGTGAAACAGCGGAGGAGTCAAAAGTCGTCTTCATGGGGGAAAGAGTTAAACATGAAACCAGAACTGAACCTTCTCCTCACCTTGTGCTGGGTTGGCTGTAGTCCAGACTGGGGTGTGCGTAGATTGCGGGTGTGCTCTCTGGTACTGCAGTTGACACCGTGTTAGCAGCAGCAGTAGTAGTAGCAGTAGTAGTACTAGTACACATCCTGGTACTGCTGGTCCTGTCGTCGGCTGAGGTGGTGGGGTTGGAGTCCACAGAACAGATACTGGACCTGGACGAGATCTCGCTGTGACTCGAGTCGGATAAATTATCGGCTTTTCCAGGCGGCAGCAGAGCGTAACCTGGAGACGAGAGGGGGAAGTGTCATTAACTAAATTACTGGGTTTAAGATGACGTAAAAAAACAAAAAAAACAAACTTGTGTCAGATGCCCTACAATCTTCTGAAAACCCAGTGTGTCAGATATCCTCGCTTCCACCTATACTTCTGTGTCAGATGCCCTACCATTCTCTAATCTCTGTGTGAGGGGGTTTAGTGGGCACATCCACCCACTACTCCCAGCGTGAGATTAAAAAAAATATAATAATAAAAATAACAAAAATATTAAAAAAAAATCCTACAACTTAAACGTCAAACCGGAGCTACTGGTGAAAACAACCTGCACAGGCTCATGACATCTGCACTACTGTCCTGTACTGACCTGAGACATGAGGGACCAGGACTGAACCAGGACTGAACCAGGACTGAACCAGGACTGAACCAGGACTGAACCAGGACTGAATCAGACGGTCACCCTGCTCCAAGGGCTCAGGGTTCTCTCTCTCTCACTCTCAAGTCCAAGATTAGACCTGGTTTCATCCTGGTTTTGACCTGGTTCAGTCCCAGTTCAGTCCTGGTTTAGTCCTGATTTAGTCCTGGTTTAGTTCTGGTTCAGTTCTGGTTTCAACCTGGTTTAGTCCTGGTTTAGTCCTGGTTCAGTCCCAGTTCAGTCCTGGTTTAGTCCTGGTTCAGTTCTGGTTCAGTTCTGGTTTCAACCTGGTTTAGTCCTGGTTTCGACCTGGTTTTAGTCCTGGTTCAGTCCTGGTTTAGTCCTGGTTTCGACCTGGTTTCGTCCTGGTTCAGTCCTGGTTCAGTCCTGGTTCAGTCCTGGTTTAGTCCTGGTTTAGTCCTGGTTTAGACCTGGTTCAGTCCTGGTTCAGTCCTGGTTCAGTCCTGGTTTCGACCTGGTTTCGTCCTGGTTCAGTCCTGGTTCAGTCCTGGTTTAGTCCTGGTTCAGTCCTGGTTTAGTCCTGGTTCAGTCCTGGTTTCGACCTGGTTTAGTCCTGGTTCAGTTCTGGTTTCAACCTGGTTTCGACCTGGTTTAGTCCTGGTTTCAACCTGGTTTAATCCTGGTTTAGTCCTGGTTTAGTCCTGATTTAGTCCTGATTTAGTCCTGGTTTAGTCCTGGTTTCGACCTGGTTTAGTCCTGGTTTCAACCTGGTTTAATCCTGGTTTAGTCCTGGTTTTGACCTGGTTTAGTCCTGGTTTAGTCCTCGTTCAGTCCTGGTTTCGACCTGGTTTCGTCCTGGTTCGTCCTGGTTTCGTCCTGGTTCAGTCCTGGTTCAGTCCTGGTTTAGTCCTGGTTCAGTCCTGGTTCATGTGTTGTGATTTATGTTCTGTAGGCGTTAATGTTAATAACACGATGTCACAAATGATGTACCTCCACTACACCACGGCCTGTGTGTCAGATGCCCTTCCATCCTCCCATATCCCTGTGTGTCAGTTTCAACATTTGTGGATTTTAATATAATGACTAAAAGAATAAACATATAATAAATATATAAGTATATTAATGTTTGTAGCGATAAATATATGAATTCTTATCTAACCTGTCCTCTAAAATACTTGCTATTCTGTAAATAATTTGTGCTAAAAAAGTTCTGGTAATTGTTTTGTGTACGTTGAAGTTCTAAAAATAAAACAGAGCACAGAAAGTACTAGAAATCACCATTTAACTCAGAGAAACAAGCTTTTCCATGTTCAAAACTACAAAACTGAAACTGGACATTTTGTGAGGAGTGAGGCTAAAATGTAAGATAACACTGCCATCTAGTGTTTGCACAAGACATTTTCCAACAACAACAAAGAAATGACCTGAAATATAAGAATAAGAATTGATCGAACCTTCGAACTCACATTTAATTTTGCGTCACAACAAATTATTTCATTAAAGAGGGAGTATTATACTTCTATGTCCTATTAACTGCAAACACATAACATATTTCGATCACTATGTTTTAAAAATGTCATATTCGCCAAAATCGAATCTAATAACATGTTTTAGAAGTTTCAATTTTATTTCTGATACTCTGAGGCCCCCGTCCCTTTGCTCTCCACCCTAAGCCACTCCCCCTCCAGAGCGCCATCACAACACAATCAGCGTTCATCCCGCTATTTTTTGTATGTTTATGGAGAATTGTCGTGTGGGGGAGCATGGGGGGATGTAGGAGCATTGCACAGAATCAAATCGAATCAAAAAGAAAGATCGCTAGATTATTCAAACATGCACCGATGCTTCTGCAGGCTAAAACCTCTTCACGCATGTTGCCGATAATGGAACGGCATTAGAACATAGTAGAAAGCTAAAAAAAAAAATACTCCCTCTTTAATTTAAGATACTTTCCAGCGCTAAAGTGTCTTTTATAGAAATAGAACTCACATATTTACAATCTCATTCAATGCAAAAATAGTTTGAAAATGTACCAAAATCTAAAAATAGCTGCACTCGACGAAATGAACAGAACCAACACTGTCCCAGCTGTAGTTTCACAGGGGGAAAGAACGGTCAGAAATGTAAAAGTGCACTGCAAATGCCCAGAACAGCTGAATTATTCATGACTCCCTACATTATGTACTTTATGTACTTTATGTACATTATGCTGATTTGAGTAGATCTGACCAGAACAAATGTGTGCTTCTATTTTTTTAACTAGTACAGTTTTGCGTGTCACTATTGAAGGCGAGGTATCTGATTTTCAAAGCGCAAAAGGAGGTATTTAAATCTTTCTAACATGCTCCTGTCCCTCTCAAAACCTTTGAATTTCAGCGCTGAAACTGGCAGCAAAAATGAGATTCATGTGAGGCTCATTCTGCTTTCTGACTGGATAAACGTCTTGAACCAAAACATCAAATTACCGTATTTTTCAGACTATAAGTCGCACTTTTTTTTCGTGGTTTGGGTGTTTCCTGCGACTTATACTCCAGTGTGACTTACATATTAAAATGTTCACAGTGAAGTCGCGGGAGGCTCTAGTCTTGTCACTTCACTCTACTGCGCATGTCTCCTGCAAAAAGAGCCTCTGTCCTGTATCTGTATCATGACTGAAAATTTAACCTTTAAACTAACTTATAAAGATGACTGAGAAGACCGAAGACAAATGGCCCCAAAAAGAAAATCATATTCTGCAGACTACAAGCTGCGTGAAATCTGCAGCTGGAAACGGTAATCGAGCAACAGAAAGAAAATTTGAAGTAAAAAGTGAGCAAAAGTGTGACTTATATGTTTTTTCATCTTCATTATGCATTTTTGAGCTGGTGCGACTTATACTTTTGGAGCGACTTATAGTCCGTAAAATACAGTATAACATAAATAAATGGGACATACATTATATATTATAGATTAGAGTTGTTGTCAGAAAGGACTTGATGTGAACATGTTTACCTCGTATCTGAGGACATAGACAGTGTTGGGAAGGTGACTTTTAAAATGTAATCCCCTACAGATTACAGATTACATACACCAAAATGTAGTTTGTAACAGAATCCATTAAATTACTGGAAGTGAGTAATGTAATCTGAATACTTTGGATTACTTGATTTGCTGTAGAGAAGCAAAGACCAGGAAATCGTAACATAAGATGTTTTGTCTGATAAAAGACAAAAAAAAGCTGAGTCTTTACTTAACCAAATTTAAAATATTATTGATAGAAGAAGAAGAGACATGGTCCATGCAGTCCTGTTAGTCCTGTTAACTCCTGGTTTAGTCCTGGTTTTAGACCTGGTTTTAGACCTGGTTTAGACCTGGTTTTAGTCCTGGTTTTAGACCTGGTTTTAGTCCTGGTTTTAGACCTGGTTTTAGACCTGGTTTTAGTCCTGGTTTTAGACCTGGTTTTAGTCCTGGTTTAGACCTGGTTTAGACCTGGTTTTAGTCCTGGTTTTAGACCTGGTTTTAGTCCTGGTTTTAGACCTGGTTTTAGACCTGGTTTAGACCTGGTTTTAGACCTGGTTTTAGACCTGGTTTAGTCCTGGTTTTAGTCCTGGTTTTAGTCCTGGTTTTAGACCTGGTTTAGACCTGGTTTTAGACCTGGTTTTAGACCTGGTTTAGACCTGGTTTTAGTCCTGGTTTTAGACCTGGTTTAGACCTGGTTTTAGTCCTGGTTTTCCTGGTTTAGACCTGGTTTTAGACCTGGTTTAGACCTGGTTTTAGACCTGGTTTTAGTCCTGGTTTTAGACCTGGTTTAGACCTGGTTTTAGACCTGGTTTAGACCTGGTTTTAGTCCTGGTTTTAGACCTGGTTTAGACCTGGTTTTAGACCTGGTTAAGACCTGGTTTTAGACCTGGTTAATACCTGGTTTTAGTCCTGGTTTTACACCTGGTTTAGACCTGGTTTTAGACCTGGTTTTAGACCTGGTTTAGACCTGGTTTAGTCCTGGTTTAGACCTGGTTTAGACCTGGTTAAGACCTGGTTTTAGTCCTGGTTTTAGACCTGGTTTAGACCTGGTTTAGTGTCCGATAATGAGTGGAATTATGAAATATATAAAGATAAATATAAAAATACAGCCCAAAATGTAAAAATAGGAAAATAGTGTAATCCACTTATTTCATCAAAGTAACTGTAATCCAATTACCACTCACTGAAACAGTAACTGTAACTGAATACAGTTACTCATAAATTTGTACTCTGATTACGTAACTCCAGTACATGTAATCTGTTACTCCCCAACACTGGACATAAAAAGGTCAAATTTATGATTTTTTAATCTAAATTTTACAGTGTAGTAGTGCAGCTTTAAATCACTGTGAGAAAAAATCTGAACCAGTTAAAACCACTCAAATGAACAGACATTCTGCATTCAACTACTATGGGCATTGTACAGCGCAGTGCTACATGGAGCAGTTCATGGGATTTTGTTTGGGTCAAAACAAAGACAAACTCTACAGTGAAAACAATAAAAACACATTTTCCATTTTCTGACAAGATCTGCCCTCCTTATCGTCATCGGCGTGCGCTCCCCGTAGACGAGCACGCGCCAAACCACGCAAAACCAATTTCTACACAACACCAACAACGCAACACATCTGGAATCTGAATCAGTGTTTCTCAAACGGTGGGACGCGGACTTCCCCTGAAATCTGCTGCTCTCCTGGTCTAGACTTTTTCATTCTACTGGAACCATTTTAGTTACGCTTTAGTCTTTCTCTCGTTTAGTTTTGGCTTAGACCTGCTTGGCTTATGTTAGAAATAGTAAGACCTGGTTTAGTCCTACTTTAGAGCTTGTCAAGACCTTGTCAAGACCTTGTCAAGACCTGGCATAGACCTGGAATAGACCTGGAATAGACCTTAGAAGTAGTGAGACCTGGTTTAGTAATACGTTAAACCTTGTCAAGACCTTGTTAAAGCCTTAAGACCTTGTTAAGACTTGGTATAGGCCTGAAATAGATCTGGCATAGACCTGAAATGTATTAGAAGGAGTAGGGCCTGGTTTAGTCCTACTTTAGACCTTGTCTAGACCTTGTCAAGACCTTGTTAAGACCTTGTTAAGACCTTGTTAAGACCTTGTTAAGACCTTGCATAGACCTGGAATAGACCTGGAATAGACCTGATATGTATTAGAAGTAGTGAGACCTGGTTTAGTCCTATGTTAGACCTTGTTAAGACCTTGTTAAGGCCTTGTTAAGGCCTTGTTAAGACTTGGTATAGACCTGGCATAGACCTGAAATGTATTAGAAGTAGTAAGACCTGGTTTAGTCCTACTTTAGAGCTTGTTAAGACCTTGTTAAAGACCTAGTTTAGACCTGGTTTAGACCTGGTTTAAACCTGGTTTAATTCTGGCTTAAACCTTACTTAGAGCTTGTTTAAACTTAATATAAACCTTGTTTAAGCATGTAGGGTATTATAAGTAATAAGATCTGGTTTAGTTCTGGCTCAAACCTGATTCAGACCTGGCTTAGGCTTAGCATGTTTAGTCCAGGCCTAGTTCTGGTTTAGTTCTGGTTTAGACCTGGTTTAGATGTAAATAGACCTAGTTTTAGATTTGGTTTGACTGTGCTTAAACCTGATCAGACCTGGTTTAGCCTTAGTCCAGGCCTACTTTTGTTTAAGACCTGGTTTAGTCCTGATTTTGACCTGGTTTAGATGTAGTTTAGAAATAGTTTAAGCATTAGACCTGGTTTGATTCTGCTTAAACCTCATCAGACCTGGTTTAGCCTTAGTCTTGGCATAGTTTTGTTTGAAAGCCGATTTAGTCCTGATTTAGACCTGGTTTACACATGTATTAGACACATTAAGACCTGGTTTGATTCTGCTTAAACCTGAATAGACCTGGTTGAGCCTCAGTCCTGGCATAGTTCTGTTCAAGTCCCTGTACATCAGACCGTCTTTCTCCTCTTGTGCTTGCCCACACAGAGCCAGACGAAGGGGTTGGGGCTGAGCGACCGCCTGCTTTTGGGTTCCGTGTCTGGGCTTGCCTCCCCCTCGCGCCCCCCTCTGCTCTGGAGCTGCTCTGGGGGCCTCCTTCCTCTCCCTGGACTCACTCCTCTCCCTCAGCGCCTTAAACGGGGACAGCATGCGTTTTCTAATTGTAGTCTTCGGCGGTCGGGGGGTTGTCGGGGAAACCGGACCCTCTTCCGTGCATGGCTGAGAGGGACTTAGCGGCCTAGGTGTTAACATTAACCCCGTAGCTTCACGTCGGACACTGCGCCTCCACCTCCCTCGTCTCTGCTCTCCTGCCTGAGTCGCCCGCTTGCTCTGCGGGCTCGGTTCCTCCCGCTCGCCCTCCCTGCCGCCGCCGCTCGCGTCTCGGCTGTGCTGTCCAGTCATGAGCTGGATCCTCTTGCGGAGATGAGCCCCACCTATGCCGTAGCTGCGCAGGCTGATCGTGCTGGCCTTGGTGCTCGCGTCGCTGGTCAGTGACGACGACGAGCCGGACAGGTTCATCTGGCTGCAGTTCTGAGACTTCTGTGGTCCACCAACTGCAAAGACAAAACAAGACGTTCGATTCAAGCAGACAACAACAGGAGTTAGAATAGTAAATTAAAAAAAAACATCTAATGAAGAGTGTAGAGTTCACAACAAAATGTTCTGAGGTCCTGTTACCAGATCTGATAAAGTTAGACAAGGATCCTGCCTCCTAGTCCTGGCTTGGTCCTGGTTTAGATATTTTAAGCCCTGGGTTTGTCATGGTTTAGTCCTGGTTAA